CCAGGGTATCTTTTTAAAGGTATCCCATTGTGTTATCCCAAAAGGACTATTTTCAGAGTATCCAGTCAGGAAGATTGCCACAGACTCCTGAATTGACACTGGGACCAGAGGACTCTTATTGGGGTTCAGTACAACTTGGAAACAGTAGTAAGTAGTTTTTTGACATGAGTGTCTATTGGGTGCAGTGGTTTGTCAGAGTTGTCAGGTTTTTACGCTTTTTGATAATTTTAGGCTTATTATCTTGATGTTGATCCAAATGAAGACGTTCAACATAAAACCCCTCTACCAGAACTTTATTTTTTAATGGGTGGTGTAAATGTATAAGAAAATTTACATAAAACATAAAATTACTTTGTGCCATTTAAAAATTATAAACAAATATATACCAATATGTTAAGATCAGTTACTAATCTATAATCAAAAGAAAATCGATAAAAAAAAAAAAAAAAAGCAATCACACCTAAAAACTGAAGATAAGGTAATAGGATAATTTAAAGAAAACTTAAATTGGTTACACTAGTTAATAAAATAGTTGTTAATTAAGAAAATAAAAGAATCTTAAAAAGAATTTAATTCGTTAACATTGTTAAGAAGTTTTTGTTTGAGTTTTTGTTTAACTAGAGAAAGTGAAGAACAATTTTTCAGCTGGCTATTTAATAAAGTGTTCCATAATTTAGGACCTCTGATGGCAATAGAAAATTTAGTAGCCAAATAGTGTATATTAGGTTGCTCGTAATAGTAATTTGAAAATCTTGTAGGGTACACGTGATTAATTTTATTAAAAAAATGTATTAAAAATTATAGGAGTTAATTTATTATATAGTTTGTACATAAGTATATAAATTTGATAAAGGTTTAACTGAAGAACATTGAGTATGTGATGATTTTTGAATAGTTCTTTAGAATGTGCGAATCGACCTGCATTTGAAATAATCCTAACAGCGTGTTTTTGTCTACAAAGCAATTTTTTAACTTTACTTACATTAGAGCTGCACCATGCAATATTTTCATAGTTTATATAACAATTTATGTGGGAGAAATATAAGATTTTTAAGCAGTTGTGGTTTAAGATTTGCTTAGCTTTGTATATTATGCCAATGTTTTTCGAAATTTTATTTTCAATTGTTCTTATGTGTTCTCTCCATGTCATGTTTTTTTTTTTTTTTTTTTTTTTTCATTTATTTTGCTGTTTAACAAATATAAGCAACACATATATATACAAGAAAGAAAGAAATTTGTCCGTATAACAATGAAGACAGTAAAATCTTGTCAACAAGCACCGTTTTTGTACATACAGTATATAAAATAAACTATACTTTTTTACAATGATCTTTATAAAATAACGAGTTAAACAGACAGGGGCTCCAAGAAGATGAAGATGACAAAACGCAATCTTTTCATAGAGCCCCCTATATACATTTTCATTAGGTTATGGATATTAAATTAAATTAAAAACACTAATGGGCATAAAACTGCTGCGCTGATCAATAAAAACAAATAAATAAGATTATAAAGAAAATTACCATGTAATCCTTTTAAGCACAAATAATAATCAAATTTTAAAAATTTCTTTTTTTATCAGAAACTTAAATGAACTTAATGACTTTGCCATACATTTGGATCCTTTTTGATATCTATTCCATATATTTGGCCCCCGATATGCAATGCTATATTCAGTATATTTATTAAGGTTTTGAGGCAGTTTATATGTGTTACTTATATTTGCTCTTAGATAGTAGTTTTCATTTATGTTTATTTCAAACTTGTTAGTAAAGTTTGTAGGAGAGAGATTATTATTAAATTGATACATAAAAATTAAATGCTGATAGATATTTATTTTAAAAACATCCATCATTTTCATATCTTTCATTATAGGTTTTGCATGCTCCCGCTTATTTTTAAAGTAAATGATTCTGCATGCGTGTTTTTGTAGACTATAGATTTTTTCAAGTTTTGATGGCTGAGTACTTGCCCATGATATGTTTGCATAGCTGATAAAGCAATGAATTAGTCCAAAGTAAATTAGTTTTAGACTTTGTTTATTGATATATGATCGTCAAGTATCACTCCTAAAAACTTTTATGATGACTCTCTAATTATTTTAGAGCTGCCAATGTAAAGATCAGGAAGTTTTAATGGAATATTTTCTTTATCGTAAAGTCTATGAAAAAAAAATACTTAGTTTTATTTAAATTTAAGGACAATTTGTTCGCCTTAAACCATTCCGCTAGATTAAAAAATTCCTTGTTTACTATTTTAAATAAGAGGTTGATATCTCAATTAGAACAATATAAATTCGTATCATCTGCAAATAAAACTGAGTTTAAAATGTTTGAAGACTTATGGAAATCGTTTACATAAATAAGAAATAAAAGTGGACCCAGAATTTAGCTTTCGGGAGCACTGCAAGTTACAGTCAAGTATTCAGTTTTGAAATTGGTCTGTAATTTTCAGAATTAGATATGTCTCCTTACTTGAAAATAGGTATGACCCTCGCAATTTTTAGTTTCTCCGGATAAATGCCTAGTTTTAAAGAGAGATTAAAAATATGTAAAAGAGCGTTTGTTAAGTACTTTTTTGATTTTTTAATTAAATTACAACTAATATTATCAAACTCCACACTTTTGTTTAGTTTTAAAAAATATACTGAATCTAAGAGTTCCTTTTCAGTAATTTCATAATTATCCATCTTAGAGGTCTTATTAGGAGTAAGATATGACTCAAAGTTTACTTCAGTAGTTTCTATTTTCGACGCTAAAGTGGAACCTACACTGACAAAATATGGATTAAGTGTTTCAGCAACTAAAGATTTATTTGTTCAAAGTTTCTTTTTTTATATGTTTTTTTGTTTTACTCTTCTTTTATTTTGTTATTTTTGAATTCTTTATTTGAAACAATTGGAAATTAACTCAGTTTTCAATTGCCTTTCTTTATTTCTTTTTACCTATTCAACGGTGATGCGATGACCTTGCAAAGGACTTCACAATGGACTTGCAAAGGACTTCGCTTTAACTTGAAGTAACCATATTTCTGGAGATCTTTTCCTTGCGCACATATTTTTTCAATATAAATTTTCTTTAGATAAATTTATTTTACAATTGGCACATACATAGTTCAACATATCATTTAGTTTAGAATCAAATCCAAAATATATATATATATATTTTTTATATTATTCTTACGTTTTGCCATACATATAACGTCTACAAACTTCGTAAATTAAAGGTGTAATATTTACAAGTCTTGTGAGTCAAAATATATAATGAAATTTATAATTAAATAGTACGGGCCGGATTTCAAGAAGATCGTAATGATCTTATCACAAAGCCCTTACGAAGTGATTGATATATATTATTATTATGTTAAATATAATTATATATTAAGTACAACTATATTTTGATAGTCTTTAAATTAAAATAAACTCATTAAATTAAAACTTAAATTAAGCTCATAATAAAAGTTAAACAAGTTGCAGCAAAACTAACATTAAAAGACAAACATCTGTAAATTTTTTAGGTGCGAACTTTGATGAAAATTTATCATGGAAAATACATATGAGTGCTATAGAAAAAAAATCTCAAAAAACATTGGAATGATCTATAAAGTTAGGCCAATTTTAAGTTTTAAGTCCTTAAAAAAATTATATTCTACTTTTATACATAGTTACTTAACTTACGGCAACATCATATGGGCAAGTACTAACCACATATGGGCAAGTACTAACAGAATTCTTATTCAATTCAGGATCGCATACCGCTTTTGTGGAAAAGATTCCCAAACATTGTTTCCCAAAAGAAAACTTCTCTACATCAGTTCAAAACTGATTCAAAACAGTTTTTATTAAACACAGATTTAGATTTATTTTATTTTAAGTCTTTCTTTTAAAATAGATCAGATATATCAATTATATGTATATATATATATATATATGTATATGTATATATATATATATATATATATATATATATATATATATATATATATATACATATATATATATATATATATATATATATATATATATATATATATATATATATATATATATATATGTATATGTATATATATATATATATATATGTATATATATATATTCATATAAATATACATATATGTATATATATATATTCATATAAATATATATATATGTATATATATATATATATATATATATATATATATATATATGTATATGTATATATATATATATATATATATATGTATATGTATATACATATATATATATATATATATATATATATATATATATATATATATATATATGTATATGTATATGTATATATATATATATATATATATATATATATATATATATATATATATATATATATATATATATATATATAAGGCCGGCGCGATAGGGGTGTGTAGGGAGGTGTAACACCCGCCCATCAATGACTTTTAGTCGGCAAATTTGACCCTTTTTGACTAGTAAGTCGGCCAATGTAGACCCTGTCGAAAGGTTAGTCGGTAAAGTCAGTCGGCTATGTTGTCGCTATGGCAGTCGGTAAACATTAAAAAAACGAGGACATTTTTTTTTACGGAAAAAGTTGCAATGGCACCCTCTCCACGTGACCCCTATTCGCGCCGGCCCTGTCCAAGGATTCCAAATTTTTTTCAATTATAATAAAAAAATAATACTGATTTATCGACTTTTTCATAAATAAAAAAAAGTTACATATTAAAAAAGTTTTTACATACATATTTTTTACAAAATTTTCTTGAAAGTAGATAATACTATTTAAAAAAAAAAAACGCTTATTAAATAAAAATATCCATTCTTTCTTGTGTTTGTAATTGACCTTTTGCCAGATAAAGACGCCATTATAAAACGCATTGCATTCTGGGATCGCCTGGGAGCAAACAAACTTGATAGATATATAATTCTATGCGAATATCCAGCGATTATTGCATTAGCCTAGATTATTATTCTTATTTATTGGTTTTAATATGGTTTTTACTTCAGTAGATTAGTCAAAGTGGAAAATAGATGAGTTAAAAACGTATTTATTATCAAGAGGTGTCCCACTTGGTTCAGGAAGTGCACGAAAAGCACTTTTGATAGAAAAAGTTATCATGGCAGAAGCTTTAAACCTACCATTGTTACCTACCACTGATAACTGTATTAATGAAATAAATAACAGTCGAAGAAGGAAGTTAGTAGTTGACGATGTTTTACATCTTCCATTTCCTGAAGATTTAAAAAGTAACTGGCAAAGTGGAAGTCAATATCTTCCTAATGCGACTTTAGAAGTCATTAAAGAATATGCTACAAATAAGAGTGCAATGAAGGCATTTAGAGAAGGAAAAAACTTGCAATATTCTGGGCATGTTAAAGATGTCGCCTTTAATAACATTGTTGACAGTATTCGGTATTGTTACGTTAGAGCTACTGTTGTTCCTCAGACAAGAATAAACGAAAATCCATATTTAGTTTGGGTATGTTTTTATGGTTCAGAATATGTTTTTACTGCTGAGTGTTCGTGTATTGCAGGTTTCAGTTCATCTTGTAAGCATGTCTTTAGTTTATTGCATTATATTGAGAATGAAGTCAGGTTAGGCCATAATAAAACATGTACTGGCAAAAAACAACAATGGGATGTACGAGTTGAAAAGCGCCAAAAAATACATGAACCATGTGAAATAAATTCAGTTATTTTTAGGCGACCACATTCTGAAAATGATGATGTTGAACCTGGTCCAAGTAGAAACTTATATGAACCTCGATCACGAACAGACATTAATGTCACATAATCAACTGAAGACTGGGAGAATATTGCTAAAGCTACCAACGGTAATGCAAGTGTTTTGCAGTTTAAAAAAACAAGTTTTTATAAGTTAGATATTGATTTTACAATTGCTACAGAATATCCTAAAACAATTGATGAAATAGTTTGTATAACCGATATGAATTTGTTTCACTATAAATTAAAAACCTATCGAACAAATTCTGATATAAAAAAAATTTGCAGTATAACAACAGACCAGTCATATTCTATTAATTGGTTTAAATATAGAAATGGTGTTATTACATCATCAGTATCCCATGAGGTAATTCAGAAAGTTAGTGATAGGCAAACAATTACAAACCCAACATCCTCTTTTAATTTATGTGCAAAGATTTGTGAACAAATTGAAACTATTTCCAGTAGTGCGCTATCATGGGGACGAAGCAATGAAGAATTTGCTATCAAACGTTATGTTAGAAAAAACAAAAATTTACATAAAAATTTTAGTTGTGACATAGCAGGCTTGACAATATGTTCTGAGTATCCATTTCTGGGTGCAAGTCCTGATAGAATTATAAATTGTACTTGATGTGGATTTGGTTTGTTAGAATGCAAATGTCCTTTTTCAGCAAGAGATAAAACTATTTCAGAATACCTTTTAATGTCTTCTTGTTTAATAGTAAAAAGTAATGAAAGTTTTGCAATCAAACTTAATCACCCTTATTACACCCAAGTTCAGCACCAAATATTTGTTACAGGTGCCAATTATTGTGACTTTAAAATTTATTTACCCAAAGAATCTTGCACATTTCGTATTGCTAAAGATCCAAATTTCTTATTAAAGTGCCTACCAAAATTAGTTACATATTTTAACGATGTTATGCTTCCATATTTATATGACATAAATTTTGTGAGAACCACCTACACCTGCAGTAAAGTCATCCAAAGCCTTGTTTCACAAGTTGAAAAGGTAGAAAAGCAAAATACAGCAGCATTACAACTAAAACAATTATCAGATAATTACCAAATGCTGTCCAAAGACTCACCACCATCTTGTAAAAGAAAACTGTAGAAAACTATATAAAATTAATATATATATATATATATATATATATATATATATATATATATATATATATAAATAATAAAATATAAATAAATAAAAAGAATAAAATAAAAAATAAAATAAAAATATATATATATATAAAATAAACAGAATAGAAAATAATATGTATGTATGTATGTATGTATGTATATATATATATATATATATATATATATATATATATATATATATATATATATATATATATATATATATATAATAATTAAATGAAAAAAATAAAATAAAAAGAATAAAATTAAAAATAAAAAAAAATATGTAATATATATAAAATAAACAGAATAGAAAATAATATGTATGTATATATATATATATATATATATATATATATATATATATATATATATATATATATATATATATATATATATATATATATAATGTTATTCTATTCTACAAATAGAGTGCTCAATGTTCTTAAAAAGCAGCAATAATAAATTAGAAAAAAACACTTATCCACTTATCTAATATTTTTCTTTAACAAATTGTAAAAAAAATAGAAATAAATATATTTAAAAAACAAAATAAATAGTATAAAATAAAATGATTTAAAAAAAAAAAAATTTAAACTAAATAAACAACTAATGATAAACAAAAATTATACATTTTCATGTTTGATTTTTTTAAATCTAATTCACTACCAACAACGATGTAAGCACCACTATTTCAGTGAAGGGTTTCAGAAAACAAAGAGAAAGCGGTTGAATGAAGACTGTGCAAAGAAAAAACTAGAGGAATAAAAGTTTTTAGAGCATGAAGAAATAGATACTGTAAAATTATCTGTTTACTGTACGGATACTGATGCTGCAATAACACTATTTCTATATTTAAACCAAGTGACTTTGCTGAATGAAAAATCACGCATAATTAAAAAAAGATTTGGTTCATGGAACAATAGTATTTTAAAAAAGAGAAAGAGATGCAATATTACAACCATGGGACACAGGGTCAAGCTTAGAAAGTAACAGGTCCAGCTTTATTTATAATAAGTTTTGTGGTTTAAAAGAATGGGCATCATTAGAAGAACTAGCCCAAATGTGACAACAGTATGTTATACATGGTTAATTAAGTTTGAACTAGCCCAAATGTGGCAACAGTATTCCATACAGGGACAATTAAATTTGTAGGAATCAGGAGTGAGAAAATGGTGAGCACATTTTAATGAATAACAACCTTAGCCGATGCTAACTTTGAAATTCTTTATAAGAATTTCAAAGTTAGTTTCCACAAGAGAAAAAGTTTCCACAAGAGGTGGTTGCAAAAAAGTAATCCAAGAAGGCGTAAAGTAGAAGACTCTATAGGAGTGTTACCATTTATCAATATAGGAATATCAACAACAGTGATAATTATTAGCAGCACACTATTATATAGTTTTTTATTTATTTTTAATGTCAATTTATATCTGTGATTGTTTAATGAATTAGAATTTTTTTACTTGGCATAATATCTTTATTTTTTTTTTTTTTTAATACAAACTTTGACATTGTTAAACTTTTATATACCTAGACACTTTTATCACATGCAGGGATTAGGGAAACGTCAGGGATTTCAGATGTCTGCAAAAAAAAAAAAAAAAAAAAAAAGAACTACCAGGGAAATAGGGTTGAATTTAGGAAAAATCAAGGTAATCTCAGGGGAAATATCTAAATAGATAAGACTGACGGATGTCTGGCCGGGTAGACATCTATCATTTTGTACATAATGTGGGCAGATGACCTGTTATTATTTTTAATTATTATGACCTATAAATTTGGTTGCAATAACATAACGTTTTTCTAAAAAAAAATCAATTGCTTTTTTTTTTGAAATTGATATTTTGACTAATAATTAAATCATGGAAACAGGTCAAATTCAGGGAAATAAGACATGACATACGCGTCTTCAGCAGTGCTGAAAACGCATTGCACCTGCATAGTGCTGAGTCAGCACTATGCAGGTGCAATCGCACTGTGACCTAAACTCAAGGGTCCCCTCAGTATTAAAAAAATACTAGTACTAGAAGCTGCAAAATGTATTCGCGTTAGCAAGGATTATAGTTATTGGGTTAAATAGTGACGGATCCAAGGTATATACAGTTTAAGGCTGACGACACGGATTTCGAAGTGGAGGGACGGGGGTCATGATCATTAACTTGTAAAAAAAGTCCTCCATATCAAAATTTTTAAAAAAGAAAAAAAAAAGTCTTTTATCAAAAAAGTGGGGTTCACACCCACCCAAACTTCCTACACTCGGTGTAGTTAAGGCAATTTACAAATTATTCGATTACTTTTATTTGAAATTAGCGTGATTTTATTAGCTTCTAATAGCTTATTGTCCAAATATTAGCTTTATCGTCCAATTTATAGCTTTATTTTCCAATGGTCCAATTAGCTTTACTAGCTTAAAAACTTTAGACGGTTTAACTTTTTTTGCTTAAGATTTTCTAATATTTAAAGAAACTTTTTTTTTAATATAATTTTCAAAACCTTTTTACTACCAGTAATAGTGAATCTAAAGAACACTATTTTGGAGCCTTTAGATCAATTCTGCTCATCGGCAATAACATGAATTTAGTTAAAATCCTTTGAAAAAGGTCCTTAATTTACTAATTCTAATCGGTTCTGACGTATATTAACTATATATAGTTGTCAAAACACAATATTTCTATAAATTTTAACAAAAAATACTAGAATTCCGACCAAGAAAGAGCTTATTATTATGGAAAAGTGCCAATTAACGACCAGAACAAATTATATTGTTAAACTATAATGTTCATTTCACCTAAAAAACGTATTAATTTAAAATTTTATTCAAATTTGGACGAGCAATTGTGATTTTAAGATAATTTAAAAAAAAAAAAAAAAAGAATTTTCTGTCTGGGTTTTTTCGCTACAAACATTTATATTTTATTATACTGCGAAATATATCACTTTAATCTATTCATAATTTACAGACCTGATCATTTAACGGAAATATGTCGTAGTCAACAAAATATCTTACAGACCCTATAATATTTTTTAAGAGTGCCTTTACTACACCGAGCATCCGTCACAAGGAATAAATATAAGTTCTTGATACTAAGTTCTTGGTAACAAAATGTAACTAAATATAGATATATATTTAAAATTAATTTCTTGCTTTAGATAATATTTACAATGAATAAAAAACCGCATATAGAAACTAAAAAAAAGGTGAAAGTTGACATACCCTAATAACCCTGACAATCATATAAATATTCTTTAAAATCCGGAAAATTCTAAGTTAGATACTCGGGCAAATAAGCAAAAATAAAAAAAAGTAATGTTTGTTAAAAATATATATAAAAAGTAATAAAAATGTACATTGTATTGATGTCAAATCCTATTGATGTCAAATGCTAAATTTGCCATTTGACACCAGCTGTCAAATGGCAAATTTAGCTGAAAATCTATGTAACAATATAACCTGAAGATTAAAGCTTATTTTGTCTATAAAACTGCAGTTTTTCAAAATTAATGATACATAATTGTGCAAGCAAAGATATTAAAATGGGAATATAAAATAAAAAATTAATCAAACTTCATAAAATAGTACAATAATAACCAAAGTTTAAGAGCAAAATCCTGGTCAGAACTCGGCACCTCCGGACCGTTTTCAAGACCTACTCGAGGGGGGCAACCAATTGCTGTTCTTTTTTTTAAAAAAATTAGCAGTAGTTGGTTGTCTGTGTCAAATGGGCCTTGGAAAAGGTCTGAGAGGTTGCCTAGTCATGATCAGGATTTTGCATGCTGCATAGATATTAAAATGCCAATATAAATAAAAAATTACCAAAATTTCATAAAATAGCACAATAATAACTATAAATTTAAGAGCAAACACCTGCCTGCAAAATTCAGGTCAGAACTTGACATGCCCGGACCATTTTTGGGATCTGCTCAAGGGGAGCAATCAACCACTGTTCCTTTTTTTAAAAAAATGAATAGTGGTTTGTTGCCTCTCTCAAACAAGTCTTGAAAAGGGTCTGGGGAGTGCCAAGTGATGATAAGAATTTTGCAGGCTGCAAAGATATTAAAATGCAAATATGTAACATAAAATTAACCAAATTCCATGAAATAGCACAATAATAACCAAAAATTAAAGAGCAAACAAAACAGCATGCAAAATCTAGGTGAGAGCTCGACACTCCTGGGCCTTTTTTGGGACCAGCCAGAGAGTGGCAACTGACCACTGTTCTTTTTTTCAAAAAAAAATGAACAGTGGTTGGTTGCCACTCTCGAACAGGTCTCAGGAAGGGTCAGGAAGAAAAAATTAACATTTGATTAATTTTTCTTTCATTATCTTTCTTAAAAAGAAACCCTTCTAGTTGGCTAGGAAAGTAATGTGAACAATCTGAAAATTTATTGTGATAAATATTGTAATCAGAGTCTAAATTTTCATTTAACGTAAAGTAATTTGTTTTTTGAATTTTAAAAACACGATTTTTATTTAATTTATTTTTTACACGATTTAATTTAAATATATTTTATTTAAGATTTCTTTTTAGGAATGCCCATAAAATTACTCGTTAAAATTGTTTTTAAAAGAAGTTTTAATATAAAAAATTTTGTCATACCTTACCATAACACTTTCACCATTCAATTGCCTTTCTTTAACTTCAGCAAACAATTATTTTCGAATAGTGACGGTTTCTCGAGAAAAATCTTCGTTCACGAACGTATTTGTGCCGATACAATTCCTTTAATATTCTTATTTTGTCTTTATATTTCTGAAGATTTAATACTATAGTCCTTGGTCATCCATCGTTTTTTCGTCCCGTGCGGATTTTTCAATTTCAACATCTTTTAGTCGTCCGCTTTTAAAAAAAGTTTTAGAAAACAGTCGTCACGTATATCATTGCAAAAAGATAGACTCGTAACATCGTCAGTATGACCAATAAATGATTCTAGTTGTTGTCCAGTTTTAATGTCCCACATACAAGTTTTATCTGCAGAACTAGTTAAAATTTGAGCATCATCTAAAAATCTGCAACAAGTTACATGACCTGTATGTCCATACAACTCCCGTGTTATTCTAATATTTTGTTTAGTTTTTAAATTGTGAATTGTACATATTTTGTCGGCGCCACGAGAAGCAACATAATCTCCAGACTGAGCATATGCACAGAATATTTAAAAAGACAAATAAAAGATGCACTTTGCGTGCATCTTTTATCTGTCTTTTTAAATCTTCTGCTTCTTGTCGAAGATTGTCTATTTCTGAAACACTCATTATATAATTGCTATAAATAAACTAAAATTCAATAGTTATATGATTATATGATAAATCAATTCAATATTGTTTTTCAAAACACCTTAATGTATTTCGAGAAAAGAGCAATTTAAAAAAGAATAAAACGCTTTTTGAAACTAATAACTTTTATGACTTTTTTTTGAACTCTTTGAAAATATGTGTTAAATAACGTTTGTAGACATCTAAACTAGCATATTTTGTGAAAAACATAAAAATTGATTTTTTTTACCTTATGGTGTTTTGAAAAACGGACTTCAGTATAAGTCAATAACATATTTCAATAACGATTAACTTGTAATTTACATACGTAAACAAATTATGTAAAAAACGCAACTCGCATATTGTGTATTAAAAAAAGCAATTAAAATGTTCTTTTGTTTTAAAAGTATTTTCGAACGTAAGAGTTTGCTTAAATTACGAAATAAATAAAACTTTATAAACGTTAAATTAAAAACATGAAACCTATAATTTAAGAGTTTATCAGCACAATATTATTTATTATTTTCTTCACTTTATTTTTATCGCGCTTTTCTAATAAAAAATGCCATTAACACGAGCATTTCTCTCCATTGAGACAAGAATTACAATAAAAGAAAATAAAGTGTTACAAGGCTTTATTTACTACAAATTTTGAGTTTGCTAGGAGAAATTCAGTCACAAAAATGTAATTTTTAATGATTTTTTTAAACTTTTCAAATCACCTTATCAGGTTTGAATACAATAAAAAGAAAAGATAAAAGTCTAACCGACAAAGACTTCAAGAGTTTACTTGATATGAACTGGTTATGTGCTTTATTTTCCGCCAGCTCGTTGCCTTGTGGAGGCTAAATAACTAAGGTCCGCAGAGATTATATTTATATAGACAGAGATTATATTTAAATAGGCCCATAAGTACACCTTTCGGAGCTACAATTGTTGAGAATTTTTTTTGGAGAATTATAACACATTTATGTTCTCTTGAACAAAGTTTTACATTTATGTTATTTAATTCCTGGTCGTAATTCTATTGGACCGTATCCTACCGTGCGGCATTAAAGATTCGGTATTATTTAAAGACAGAAATGATAAATGGGTGTGATATGACACATTTGACATTTTATAGAATGTTGATGGCACTTTAATTACAAAAACTGAACGATATTTAAATTATCAAATAAAATTTTAACTATAGCGCTAAATCTTGGTAAAAATATATACATTTAATATACTTGGTCCAATTGCTCCCCACCCCCTCTTTTTTTTTTCGCGATTTTATTTTTTTAACTTCTCAACTGTCTTGGCACAATACAAAACTTTTTTTTTTCTGAATAAAATGCTAAGCCTCTTATAGAGATATGTTATCTGTCACTGTAAAAAAAAAGTTCTGGAATTTCATAATATTCATTTATTTCCATAGAAAAATCAAGTATATGAAAAAAGTGGTCTTAATGCCCTCCTTTGCCTTATAATATTTGCCCTCCTTTGCTAATATTTTGCCGCAACTTTAACTCTTTTGTCATAAATTCTGATAAATATATAATATCAAACTACTGAAAAGCCGTTTTTGTAAGCACTCTTTAACATATATTTGACCAAAAAGTGTAGAAATATAGAGTGCTAAAAGTAAATCAAAAAACTATACAAAAAGAAAATGTTTTATCCTGTCATGTTTTATGCATTTAAAATTCTTATCTGTTTTTCCTCTACATTTGGCATAAAAACAGAGAGGGCACCAGGTATTTGCTGATGGTCGTACTTGATATATATATATATATATATATATATATATATATATATATATATATATATATATATATATATATATATATATATATATATACTTTTTGTAAATGCAATGCATTTTAGAGAAGCTGCACCGAGCAGTGTTCGCCTTAGGGATGAATAATAAGCTAAAAAGAGTTTAGCAGAGTGAGGTAAAAGTACAAAAGGACAGATGTCCAAAGGAAAACAAAGACCCATAAAGTGAAAAATTATTAAAAACTGATATGAGTTAAGTGTAGTAAAAAGTAAATAAGAATAATAAACAACAGTCAAGGAAAGTCATTAGTTGTTGTGCTATTAATTTGTTGTTAGAGTCCAGCGTAAATGTGATTTGTAGATAGAAATGGTAATGGGGTAGAATTATTTGTTTAATAAGTAGTCACCATGTGGTTTGTATTCTAAGGGTGATAAACCTTCATTATAGATGTAAGTGTCATAAACGTCTCGAGTACAGTATGAGTTCGTGCCCTATGGTGCAGTGTGAACGCATAAAGACCTCCAGCTTTCAACCGAAACTGGTATCCCAAAATAAGTTCTACTCTGGGTCTACACCAGGGTATCTTTTCAAAGGTATCCCATTGTGTTATCCCAAAAGGACTATTCTCAGAGTATCCAGTCAGGAAGACTGCCACAGACTCCTGAATTGACACTGGGACCAGAGGACTCTTAGTGGGGTTCAGTACCACTTGCAAACAATAGTAAGTAGTTTTTTGACATGAGTGTCTAATAAGTGCCGTGTTTTTTTAAAGAGTAGCATGGGCCAATGAGAGTTGTGAATTGTTTTGAGTTCATTTAGGTATGTGTAATGTAAATAGATATTGTGTTTTACGTGTGTAACTATTGTAGTAGCATGCCTTATTAGTAATATTATAAAAAATAACATGCCTCATTAGTTATTAGTATAGAAAATAGTTAAAAGGTCCTTTAAGTTGGTGTAACGTCAGCTAGGCGGGATTTGTAGTAGTCCTATGACGCGTTTCTGGAGAATAAATTACCTATTACAACTAGATGATCTAAAATATTTAACTAGAATTACATTAATATAACAACAAAAACTAATGTGTAAATTTAAATAAAATAATCCATATATAAAAATTACTACTAATTCATAATTATCATATGGAGTTTTGCAGTTTAACTGGTTAATATGAGGTTTTGAAAAAGTGTTTGGTATTTTGTGTAAGTAAAAAGAATCACAGTACATAAGTCACGTGACTGTGATGTTATGAGAAATATTTTCAATTAAGTAGAATTATTTGTTTTATGAAAATCATGGCTCGTTTTTGCTTAATAATATTAATAGTTACTTGTGTCTTAGGTTATCAAATAATGTATGTAGCAGAGTTGGAGTAGAGTTATTTGTTTTTTAAGTAGTTGTCAGATAATGTATGTAACAGAGCTGGAGTAGAGTTATTCGTTTTTTAAGTAGTTGTCATATGGTGTATGAAAGAGAGCTGAAGTAGAATTAATCATTTTTAAATAGTTATCATATGGTGTATGGAAGAGAGCTGGAGTAGAATTATTCGTTTTTTAAGTAGATATCAGATGGTAAGGATATTATTATAATAACCCTGACAGGAGTGTTAAAGTAGATTGTACATGATAGTCAAAATTTTAGAGTGTGTACGGTGACAGTAGTAGTTAGTAGTTGTAATGGTTATGGTTAGCTGGAGTTGTATATTAAATATGTATGATTCTAGTAGTATCATATTAAAGCATATATACAAATACATATACAAATACATTGAAGAAAATACAAATACCCCTATAAATACATTATAGCACACATGTAAATACACACACATACACACACTGATAAACAAGATTATATGTGTATTAATGCAAACACATATGAGTATGTATGTATTCACACATGCGTACGCTTACACACACACACACACACACACACACACACACACACACACACACACACACACACATATATATATATATATATATATATATATATATATATATATATATATATATATATATATATATATATATATATATACATACACCCTTATGATTATATATAAATATATTCTCCTAAGTATCCCTAAATCATTTATATGTATTATATATATTACAATAGCTATTTCACAATAGCTATTTTTTTGTGTTGAATAGGTGTTGGAGTAATGTTTTAATGATTTTATCTTAGAAAAGTATAGCCTTATAGACATAAATCAGCAAATATAGCTTCTATAGAAGTATCAGTATAAATATAAGAATGATAAGCATAAGTGTATTGAAGTGTAGATGATCAAAATATAGGTGTTTTAATATTCAATTACCCATGCAGTGTCAAGATGACATTCTCATCAGGACCATTAGTTGTCATTTGGGAGTTTTGAAGTTCTGGCGCCTGACCAATGGTTGACACCCTGTGGACACTACTTTGCTAAAATAGAGCACGTGCTCAGAATTTGTAAAACACCAGTATTTTATAACGGGGTGGTATGTCTTAAACTTAATATGTTATTTTCTTGGTCAATATTGACCAAGGTCTTTGTGTATCTGTTTAGGAATGTTAATGTAAACATTCACACAGATATCTTATGACATTTATTCTGTACTATAGACATACAACATAAAGTGATAGTCATATTGGTACATACTTATAAACTTTTACTACAGTTAAAAACTTAGTAGCATTTAGCTAATTAAGAAAAAACATAGACATTTGTCCCCTTATAAATAAATAATGGTACATAAATTTTATCTATAGATATAATTGTGAATAGAATAAAAGAAAGTTAAGTAACAAAAACATGTTCGCTTACCATTCTGAAAGTAAATTTTATCTTTTGGGTTTAAATCGTGACGAAGATGTAAGATGTTCTTGATGATGAATATTTACTCGTCGTTGTTATAAAAGTTAAATTTAGAATTATAAATAAACAAAGATATACAGGAGATGTCAAGATTGATAAGAATCTTAGTCAGCCTAAATACCCAGAGAATGTAATTAAATTGAATTTTAAACACACCACTCTGTATCAGAGTTCAAACAGAATATCATGCGGTTTTAGAAATGTCTTTTATCCTGAATAAGAGACTGAGGAGAGCGAGGCCAAAAATGCCGATGATAAATTTGCGTAAGTTTGTAGAGACTCGATGAACCGGAAATTTAAGTTTTTAAAAAGTTTTTAGTTTCCATTTGGATGATGTTGTCGATAGAGGGGTTGCAATAAAAGCTAATATTCTTTTGTGCAGTTGTTATTGTTGGTGTTTAGTGTGTATTAGTATATCTTTAATAGATTTTAAGTTTGTATGTACTGATAGTGGTTTGTGTCGAAATATGTCCTGTAGTTGTAAGTTAGGGTCAATTATGTTCCAGTTGTTAAGAATGATGCTGTTGATTTGTTGTCCAATGGGAGTATATAGAGTAACTATTGTTAGTCTTTCTGTATTTTCCAGCGCGCGCCTGTTGTTGATAAGTTCATGTTGCGTTTTATAAAGCGCTTTCTTAATGTTATTGTTGATGATGGGCAGAGGATAGTCTCCTAGTACTAGTGTCATAGTTAAGTATTTAAGTTCTTTTTGTAGGTTGCTAAGTTCTGAAATGATAGTACGGTATCTGAGAGCTTGGCTGTATATGGTGCCCGAAATGGTGTGTGTGGGATGATGTGAGTCATAGTGAAGTAGTCCCATTGTGTCAGTTGGTTTTCGATAGATGGTCGTGTGAATATTACCTTGTTCATTTTTGTACAGTAGTATGTCTAGAAAGTTTATTGATGTTGCTTAGTGGTTGAAAGTGAATTTGATTGTTGGATGGATGGTGTTCATGTAGTTGCAGATCTGATCTAACACTTCTATGGGTCCTTGAAAAATGAAGAATATGTCGTCGATGAATCTTCTGTAGAGAGTAATGTGGTTCGAAAATTGGTTGGTGATTTGTTAGTCAAGCCTTCCCATGAATAAATTCGCATAGCATGGCGCAACCCGTGTGCCCATTGATGTACCTGTCAGTTGGTGGTAGTGTTTGTCACCAAAAGAGAAAGTACTGTTTGATAGTATTTCTTCTATTAGGTTGCCTATGATACCTGGTGATGGGCAGTCAGGTGGTCTATCTTGTAATGGTAAGAGCCTCAATTAATGTACTACTGCGTCTATGCCATCTCTGTGTGGGATGTTGGTGTAGAGTGATGTCACGTCAGCCGTCACAAAAATGAATTCTGAAGATTGAAGTCGTATATTTTGTAACATGTTGAGAAAGTGTATATTCTCTTTAATGTAGGCTGGTAGTGATTCGACCAGTGGTTGTATGAATCTTGTCAGGTATTCTGATAGGTTGTCCGTAGGTCCGCTGCATGCGCTGACTATTGGTCGTAATGGAATATTAGGTTTATAAATTTTTGGAAGTCCGTAAAATAGTGGTGGTTTACATGGTTTGCGGGGAAGAAGGAACTCTGCAGTCTGTTCGTTAATTTTATGAAGTTTAATCATGTAGTTTGACATGTCAGTAATTCCTCTCACAATTTTATTCGCTTAGTCAGTCTGGAGCTCTCTGTATACTGTTCTGTCCATTAGTAGTTCATTCACTTTCTCTTTGTATGTTGTTTTGTTCATGATGCAGAGCCCTCCCCCTTTGTCAGTTTTTTTGATAATAATGTCTCGGTTGTTTTGTAGGTTTTTCAGTGCTCGCCATACCTCTGGTTTCAAGTTGTTTCTTTTTCTCGGTGTCTCTCTGTTCCACATCTCTTCTAGGTCTCTGTCTATCTTCCCAAATTATTCGAGTATGTTTTCATTCTCTGTTTCTGGAGGTACCCAGCTGGACTTCTTGTAGAATACGGATCTCTTCTGCTCCTTTCTATCCTTGAAGAATATCTTGAGTCGTTGTTTTCTTTTGATTTTCACCACACTAGCCTTGAATACTTCTCTTCCTACTTTCTGTGAGTTGGGTGTAAACTTCAGTCCTTTTCCAATTGCTTCCTTTTCTTCATTTGTTAGTACGTAGTCAGATATATTTGTTATCATTTTGTCAGTCAGAGCTGTTAGCATTCTTACCTTTTCGCTGTCCACCCATCGTTTAAAGTCCCTGTCATGTCTGAAGTTTTCGCCCGGTGGAAAAAGGGTTCTCATGCTGAATGGACCAATTGCTCTTTTCTCATTTGATAAAGTGAAGTTTCGTTCGTTGTCCTAAAGATAAGTAATAGCGTGTATCATTTTTGTATTGCATGTATTTTACTGTTTCTCTACTATATATAAGTGGTATGGCAATTATTGGTATGTAGTTGTCCTTTGTTTTGTGAATGCCCAAACAGTGGTATTTTAGTATGATTAAAATTGTGAATAATAATCTTTTTAAAGGTGTCCCATTGTGTTATCCCAAAAGGACTATTCTCAGAGTATCCAGTCAGGAAGATTGCCACAGACTCCTGAATTGACACTGGGACCAGAGGTCTCTTAGTAGGGTTCAGTACAACTTGCAAACAGTAGTAAGTAGTTTTTTGACATGAGTGTCTATAGGGTGCAGTAGTTTGTCAGAGTTTTCAGGTTTTTACGCTTTTTGATATTTTTAGGCTTATTATCTTGATGTTGATCCAAATGTAGACGTTCAACATAAAATCCCTCCACCAGAACTTTATTTTTAAATGGGTGGTGTAAATGTATAAGAAAATTTACTTTTAGGGGTTTGGCAAAACTTAGGACCTTGGTGTTTAAGAAATTCTTTTTTAAGACATGAATATAGTTAAAAAAGAATTTAAGATTTTTTTAAAAATTATTTAAAGAGAATAATAACTGTGTTTAGGATCTGTGTGGAATGGATCTAACTCCAAGCGTATATTGGAGAAACTAGACTTTTAGAAAAGGATGTTCCATCTCAGTTCATTTCAATAGTACAGTGCCTAAAAGATTTTCAGGCAGTTTTGAGACATTTTTGCTTTGAATATGAGGTACAGAAAAATATTATTGAGGTTTTTAAAATATTTAAAAGTTCTTTTTGCGACATACATTTGACACAAAGTTGCTTTTAACTCAGGAAAACAACATTATAATAAATTATGTAATTCCATATTGAATTCATCAACCTTGTGGTTTGGGTAAATTCGCTGAGCAAACAGGCAAAGCAATTTATGCTAAATTTAAAAAGATGTTTACACTTTATGAAAGATATATTTTTTATCCTGATCATAGTAAAAATTAAAAAAAAAGCAGTGTGCAGCTTTGGATTTGCATAAGTTTGTAAAGCATTCTTTGTATTTGCATATGTAACATAGTTTTTAATATATGATAATACATGCTTTGTTGTTTAATCTTTTTTTCTATAAATGTTTAAAGTTGTTTAAAAATGTAAATTTACTGAAAGATAAAAGCTTTATTTAATTATTTATCCTAATAATTATTGATTCAATAGTTTATATTTTTGTTCTTAAGCATACAGACCTATTATAACCTAGTTCAAGATTATGACAATCATAGTCTAAAAATATTTAGAGCAAGAAAAGTTATAAAAGTTACTTAAAAAATTGGATTGTGCTGGGGTTGTTCCAGGAAATTTTTCGACTCTCACCGATATTTAACAAGCTTAGTTAAGGCTATATATTTACATATGTAGTCATTTTTCAGACACCCTTTGATAGAAGTGAACTACGAATAATTGGTTGGTATCTTCATAGCGAACAAAAAAAATCAAAGTGAAAATTCAAACTATGACCAAATAATTGTTTTTTTTTTGAAAGCGTACCCTAAAATGCCTTTTTTGTCTTCAAATTATGTTGCAAGTTACAGTAAAATACCGGTAACTCGAATCTTCAAGGAACCAAGGAAAACGGTTTGGCTAACAGAATCTTTTACTTAAACGAAGTAAAAAAGATATATTAAAAACGTTTTTTCTAAATAAGGAGTATTTTTGATTGGTTCAGAAGTTGAACTTGCTCTTGTTTTGAATATTTATCAATCATTCTAAATAGAATAATTAATAAAATCTTTACAAATATAGTTTTTTTTTATAATTAAATAAAATAATATTTTTATAAATAAAAGTTGTTTGATATATTTTGAGCAATAAAATGTTTTTTTTTAACCTGTTTAACAACAACAACAACAACAACATTAACAACAACAAAAACATTTTACAATAGTTTTGAAAAAGAGAAAAAACTTTTCTTTGGACTATACAGAAATCTCAAACAGACAACAACAACAACTACAACAACAACAACAACAACAACAACAACAACAACAACAACAACAACAAGTTTGTGATAGGAAATGGTATATTTTTAATTAAGGAGTCAAAAACAAAAAGAAAATTAGCATACTTTACTAGCGCTGGAAATGTTGGAATGAAAAGTTTTTTGAAGGACTTTGATGTATCTGATTTAATTGGTTGGAAGTTTATTAATCAGATGGATTGACGCTAAGACGATAGCAACTTGTTAATGCGATAGTTTCCAACTTGACCCCAAACTTGACAACAATAGCTAAGATGAGATGATAATAATGCATAGTAAATACTCCTAAATGTAAATTTATCGACATAATGACGAATTACTGAAAGCATACAATTAGCTTGAGATTCTTGCTTAGTTCAACAATATGAAAGTTCCATGAAAGATTACAATCAATTAATACACCAAGATATTTAATAACTCTTGAAGAATATAGCCGTTTATTATTAATTTTGATTTTGAATTTAACATTTTCAAAGAAATTGTTTTTTCTTGGAGATGAAAATAAAATTAGTTTAGTTTTTTCGGTGTTGAGACATATTAGGTTATCATTTAACCAGTGAACTATACCTTTTAGATCCGAATTAACATTTTTACATAAAGATTGATACAATTTGTTGATGTGCAAGAGATTTGTAACGTTAGCAAACAGATGAACTGAAGAGAAGTGAACAGAGTTGATTAGGTCGTTAACGTAGATTTAAAAAAAAAGAGGACCTAGAACAAAACCTCGAGGAACACCACACAAAACTAATTTATAACTAGAATTGAAACCATTAGTACTTACATATTGTTTTCGATCTGAAAGATAAGATCGAAACCAGTCACTTACAATACCGCGAATTCCATAATGTTTTAATTTAGAAAACAAAATACTATGGTCAAGGGTATCAAAAGCTTTTTGTAAATCGATAAAAACACCACGAACAAAATGATTAGTATCAAGAGCTTTCCTGATTTTTTCCGTTATACTTATTAATGCATAGCAAGTAGAATGCTTTGATCGAAAACCAAATTGAAAATCATTTAATCAATTAAATGAGTTTAGAAAAGAGTACACTCTAGAATACATAAGTTTTTCAAGAAGCTTACTAATGTTAGATTAAAGAGAAATAGGTCTGTAGTTAGTGCATAAAAAGTTTAGAGCCATTTTTAAATATTGGAATAACGCAAGATAATTTCAAAATATCAGGAAATTTTCCATTTATAAATGAGGTATTAAATAGTTTAGAAAGAATATTTGAAAAATCGTAGTTAAAATCTATTAGAATATTTGTAAGAATGCTGTTTGGACCTAATGATGTTTTTGGAATTAATTTAATTATAAGAGATGAAGTTTCACAAATATTTGTTAGAGATAATAATAAATTATGTAGATTTGGATGTGTAAGATATTTTTGGTAGTTAATGTAAGATGAATGAATATAGTATTTGAGTTTATGAACAACATTTGTAAAAAAAGTGTTAAATGATTCAGAGATTAAAGTCGGGTCATTTATATATGTATAATTTTCTTGCAAACAGTTGGGAGATGATTTATTCTAATTTTTTACATTAATTAGAGTGTTAATACCATTCCAAAGTTCGCGAAGATTTTTTACATTTTTGAAGAAAAATTTTTAAAATGGTTTTTTTTACTAAGTTTAATTAATGTAACTATTATATGTTTATATCTTTTAAAAATACTTTCAAATTTTTTTTTATTAATAAGATCTTAGATCTTAACATTTTTTTTTTGCGTTCTTGAATAGATTTTATAATTCCTTTCGTAATCCATGGTTTGAATCAACACTTGAAGTTTTTTATACTGATTTGTTTAAGTGGGGCGTAAGGATCTAAAATCAATGTTGTTTCAGTAATAAACGTTTGGAAACATGTGTTAGTATCATTGGACTTTGTAATATCGTCCCAGTCAATTTTTGATGAATCAGATTTAAAGTTTTCTTTATTAAAGTTTTTAAAGCTCCTGCTATATAAATTGTGTCTACGTGGTATAAATAATTTATTGAAATTGGGACAAATACAAAATTGAGGTAAATGATCAGAAACAGAAGTTGTCAAATTTCCTGAAACAATTTCATTAGCTATTAAACTAGCGAAAATATTATCAATAGCTGTAGCAGAGTAATCAGTAATTCTTGTCGACAAAGTAATAAAAGGGCGAATATTATAAAGAGAAAATAAGTTTAAAAAATCAGATTTTGCAATGTCATTATTTGATTGCATCAGATCAATTTTATAATCTCCAAGTAAGAAATTAGATTTATTTTCAGCAGATATTTTTTGAAGTAAGACAGACATGATATTATTAAAAACATTAATATCCATGCAAGGGTGTCTATAAATGCAATCAACAATAACATTAGACTTTTTAGAAAAAATAGTTTCAACAAATGTGGATTCTAAACAATTAGGTGTGTAAATCATTAAATCATCTCTTCGTTTGTTTATTAGTTTTTTGATAAATATAATAATGTATCGCCACAAGAGGATTCCGTTAGTGTCTGCTCAATGTTGTAATTATCAATGAGAATCTGATGAATTTTAGATGTTTCTTTTTTTTTAACCTTGTTTCAGTTATACCAATAATGGAAAAATCAAAATTAATGAATGATAATATTGTGTTTAAATCCTCAAAGTGTTTAAATCCTCAAAGTGTAACGATGATATGCTGAGATGAAAAAAAGGAGAGAGCGCTTATTTTATTAAAATCAAGTGTACATAATTTGCTTATGTCACAATATTTACAAAAAATGTCTAATGAAGAAGAAATTTTTTTCTCAGAATCTAAAACACGAGATGAAACATAATTATTAATTTGATTAGAGACTTTATTTAAAAGAAAAGACCGTAAAAGGTTTGTAGACAGAGGTAAATTATCAGTTTTAAGAATTATATCAGAAGAAAATAGCAATTTAAATTCATTATCTTGTACATCTGTGAATGGAAAGACACTTTTAACACAGTTTAAACAACTCCGCAACGAGCGACTTAATTGTAGTAAACTGTACTTAGTATCATTAAGCCTGTTTTTTTTTTAGTATCGTTAAGTCATATTTTGTATGAGACCAAAATAAACAAATATTACATTGAGATGAGCGGCAACTTTTACTAATTATTTTTACACAAAAGACAGTTAAAAGCCATAGTGGAACCGCAATATTAGAGAGAATGTAAGAACAATAAGTAGGGAGTAAATAGCTATGTTATTAATAATTGTTAAAACAAAATAATGCGTATGAATAGATAATTAAGAATAACCTAATAAAGCATCGAAAAACTAACAGTTATAATAAATAATATTAATGTAGTAAAACAATAATGCAACAGCCAAACAAACAGTAAACTATAACAAAAACCAAAATTTTGAAGAAAATTATAAAATCAGACTAAAAGAGTAAAAAAACTTATTAAAGTTAAGAGAAATAAATTAAAAAATATAATAGCAATAATAAAAATAAATATTAAATATTATATATCATAATAAGTAACCTAATAATAAATTGTAGTAATATAAATAAAAATAATAGTGTTATATTTAAAATAAGATAAAAAATATTAGATATAAATAAAAACTATAAAAACTATCTACTCTTTTAAGAAACTGATCTCCTCTTCTGATTTTTTTTTTTTTTTTTTTTTTTTTTTTTTTTTTTTGTCATTAAAAAAAAGAATACATTGCCGTGTTGTATAAATAAAAGCTACATGACCGGGGCTAAAAGAAGACAATATTTGCCTTCTCACTACACTTTCATCAGTAAACGTGTGTAACCATTAAAATGTAAACATAAAACATAAAATTACTTTGTACCATTTAAAAATTATATACAAATATATACAAATATGTTAAGATCAGTTACTAATCTATAATCAAAAGGAAATCGTAAAAAAAAAAAAAAAAAAAAAAAAAAGCAATTACACCTAAGAACTGAAGATAAGTTATTAGGATAATTTAAAGAAAATTTAAATTGGTTACACTAGTTAATAAAATAGTTGTTATTAAAAAAGATAAAAAAATCTTAAAAAGAATTTAATTCATTAACATTGTTGAGAAGTTTTTGTTTGAGTTTTTGTTTAAATAGAGAAAGTGAAGAACAATTTTTCAGCTGGTTGTTTAATAAAGTGTTCCATAATTTAGGACCTCTGATGGCAATAGAAAATTTAGTAGAAAAATAGTGTATATTAGGTTGCTCGTAATTGTAATTTGAAAATCTTGTAGGGTACACCTGATTAATTTTATTGAAAAATGTATTAAAAATTATAGGAGTTAATTTATTATATAGTTTGTACATAAGTATATAAATTTGATAAAGGTTTAACTGAAAAACATTGAGTATGTGATGATTTTTGAATAGTTCTTTAGAATGGTACAGAATAGTTTTGAATAGTTCATTAAAATGGTACGGAATAGTTTTTTGAATAGTTCTTTAGAATGGTACGGAAGGAGGCGTGAACTTCCTGTTAAATGCTTTCCCGCGGTGCTCTATGATAAGACCGTAAGGACTTCTGGGAGCACCTAAATACATACAAAAAAAAAAAAAAAAATGTGCGAATCGACCTGCATTTGAAATAATCCTAACAGCGTGTTTTTGTCTACTAAGCAATTTTTTAACTTTACTTACATTAGAGCTGCACCATGCATTATTTTCATAGTTTATATAACAATTTATGAGGGAGAAATATAAGATTTTTAAGCAGTTGTGGTTTAAGATTTGCTTAGCTTTGTATAGTATGCCAATGTTTTTCGAAATTTTATTTTCAATTGTTCTTATGTGTTCTCTCCATGTCATGTTTTTTTTTTTTTTTTTTATTCATTTTGCTGTTTAACAAATATAACCAACACATATATATACAAGAAAGAAAGAAATTTGTCCGTATAACAAAGAAGACAGTAAAATCTTGTCAACAAGCACCGTTTTTGTATATACAGTATATAAAATAAACTATACTTTTTTACAATGATCTTTATAAAATAACGAGTTAAACAGACAGGGGCTCCAAGAAGATGAAGATGACAAAACGCAATCTTTCATAGAGCCCCCTATATACATTTTCATTAGGTTATGGATATTAAATTAAATTAAAAACACTAATGGGCATAAAACTGCTGCGCTGATCAATAAAAACAAATAAATAAGATTATAAAGAAAATTACCATGTAATCCTTTTAAGCACAAATAATAATCAAATTTTAAAAATTTCTTTTTTTATCAGAAACTTAAATGAACTTAATGACTTTGCCATACATTTGGATCCTTTTTGATATCTATTCCATATATTTGGCCCCCGATATGCAATGCTATATTCAGTATATTTATTAAGGTTTTGAGGCAGTTTATATGTGTTACTTATATTTGCTCTTAGATAGTAGTTTTCATTTATGTTTATTTCAAACTTGTTAGTAAAGTTTGTAGGAGAGAGATTATTATTAAATTGATACATAAAAATTAAATGCTGATAGATATTTATTTTAAAAACATCCATCATTTTCATATCTTTCATTATAGGTTTTGCATGCTCCCGCTTATTTTTAAAGTAAATGATTCTGCATGCGTGTTTTTGTAGACTATAGATTTTTTCAAGTTTTGATGGCTGAGTACTTGCCCATGATATGTTTGCATAGCTGATAAAGCAATGAATTAGTCCAAAGTAAATTAGTTTTAGACTTTGTTTATTGATATATGATCGTCAAGTATCACTCCTAAAAACTTTTATGATGACTCTCTAATTATTTTAGAGTTGCCAATGTAAAGATCAGGAAGTTTTAATGGAATATTTTCTTTATCGTAAAGTCTATGAAAAAAAAATACTTAGTTTTATTTAAATTTAAGGACAATTTGTTCGCCTTAAACCATTCCGCTAGATTAAAAAATTCCTTGTTTACTATTTTAAATAAGAGGTTGATATCTCAATTAGAACAATATAAATTCGTATCATCTGCAAATAAAACTGAGTTTAAAATGTTTGAAGACTTATGGAAATCGTTTACATAAATAAGAAATAAAAGTGGACCCAGAATTTAGCTTTCGGGAGCACTGCAAGTTACAGTCAAGTATTCAGTTTTGAAATTGGTCTGTAATTTTCAGAATTAGATATGTCTCCTTACTTGAAAATAGGTATGACCCTCGCAATTTTTAGTTTCTCCGGATAAATGCCTAGTTTTAAAGAGAGATTAAAAATATGTAAAAGAGCGTTTGTTAAGTACTTTTTTGATTTTTTAATTAAATTACAACTAATATTATCAAACTCCACACTTTTGTTTAGTTTTAAAAAATATACTGAATCTAAGAGTTCCTTTTCAGTAATTTCATAATTATCCATCTTAGAGGTCTTATTAGGAGTAAGATATGACTCAAAGTTTACTTCAGTAGTTTCTATTTTCGACGCTAAAGTGGAACCTACACTGACAAAATATGGATTAAGTGTTTCAGCAACTAAAGATTTATTTGTAATAGTTTTATTTTTAATGCTTAGTTTTATAAGAAGACTATTTCCGTCATTTTGTTTCGTGCCAATTAATTCCTTAATTGTTTCCAAGTTTTTTTTGAATCATTTTTATGTTTTATTAAATGCTCAGTATAGTAATATTTATTTGACTTTTTGATAACCATCTCGAAAATGCGTTTATAATTTTTGTAATTAGTTTCATTATTGAAAGTTTTTTTTTTTGAGAAACTTATTATAAAGTCGTTGCTTTTTTTTCGATGACTTTATAATTCCAGGCGTTATCCACGGATTTAATAATTTTTTCACACATTTTGTAACTACAGGAAAAGCCGAATTGTAAAGTTGTTGTAATTTATCAATAAACTTATCTTATGTCTTATCTGCGTGTTCAATATGAAGGAGGTCACGTGTTCAATATCAAGGAGGTCACGTGTTCAATATGAAGGAGGTCACGTGTTCAATATCAAGGAGGTCACGTGTTCAATATGAAGGAGGTCACGTGTTCAATATCAAGGAGGTCATCCCAATTTAAATCTGATGAAAAAGTATTAAAATTTTCCATGGATTTTTCATTTATATTTCGCGTATTTTTTTTAACTTTTTGTGCATAAATGTTATCACATTTTTGTGAGATAAGAAATACAGGGAAATGATCTGAAATATCGCATTTAAATATTCCTGTTTTTATTTTTGATTTGAACTCATTGGTGACTATTTGATCTACGATTGTTGCGCTTTCTCTAGTTATTTTTGTGGGTTTATTAATTAGTGGAATAAAGTCTTTCTGATATATCGCGACGTTAGAATTATCTTGTGCTATCTCCAATTTTTGAAAAAGTTGAGATTTTATTATTTTCGAATATTTTAGCATTGTGTTGTTCTACTTTAATTATATTGAAAAAAAATGAAACTTTTAACACGGTATTGCATGCAATATTGCATTGTTCTATCTCCTTAATGAGCAAACTTGAAAATATTATCTTGTTGTATCTCCAATCAACCAATCATATTACAATTTCAAAGTTGTTCGGAATAATTTTATCAGTTTTGTTGTTTTCAAAATGGCAACTGCAAATATTGACCAAGAAATGGAACCTGCCCTAAATCAAAACGAAGGTAGTTTTTCAACTTAATTTGTATTATAATTTTGGAAAAGTAGAATTCGACTTTCGCTTGTGCCATTTTAGATTAAATTTAATAGTTATTATTTATACATCCTGGATAATAAAAAATTAATATTTTAATCGTTAGAGCTGCTTGGCATTACACCTTCTCGTCGGTAGCCCCATGGTGGGGTTTCTAGGAAACGTAAAGCTGATAGGAGTAGTTGGAAACAAAGTGTAAGAAAAATCCAACGTCAGTCGGGTAAAGCTTATAAAATACGAAATGAGAACAAATGCCAAAAAGATCTATTGTTGCACTAAAAAGTTGCAGAAATTGTAAATTTAAATGTTCTACCAATATATCTGAGATTGAGCGTCAAATAATATTTGATAACTTTTGGACCTTAGATGATGACGGAAAAAAACATTTCTATTCTAAAACTACTGAAAACCTGGAGAAAAAACGCTGTCGGACAGCTGCTGGTGACAATTCAAGAAGAAAAACATCTTATTATTATAGCTTTTTTGTTTCTAATACACAATATAGAGTTTGTAAATCATATTATCTTTCAACATTGAATATTAGCATCCATAGAGTGTTTTACTTTCATAAGTTTAATAAATCTTTAACTACTGGAACACCATTGCAATCAAAATCAGGGAAACATGTTAAAAAAAGGTTACTAGAAGAGTCTAAACAAGTTGTACGAGACCATATTAACCTTTTCCCAAGAATTGATGCTCATTATAGCAGGAAAAAGACACATAAAGAATACATGGAAGGATCACTAAGCCACGACTCGATCATTTTCTCCACGAAGCCATGACTGGTCGTGGAGGAAATGATCTAGCCAGTGCTGTAACATGTTTGCTTTTGAAAATCATGGCTGACCTTGACATAAATAAGTTCATACTTTGGTTCGATTCATGTGTACCACAAAACCGCAATAGTTTCATGTCAGCAGCTTTGTGTGAATTTATAATACGATACCCACAAAAAAAAGTAATTGAACAGAAGTTCTGCGAGCCAGGTCATTCCAGCATTCAAGAATGTGACAACATTCATAGTCAGATTAAAAAATCCCTCTCTGCTGCAGAAATATTTAGTCCACTTGGGCTAGAAAGAGCTATTAAAAATGTAAACCGTAAAAAACCTTTCTGTGTTTACCAAATGCAATTAGGAGATGTAAAAAATTTTTCAGTTGTTGCTGGTTTGTCAAGTTATAAGTTAGTGCCTTATTCAAAGGTTAAAAATCTTGTTTATCAAAACGGACTGCCATACCATGTTTTTTTTTAAACCTCGTTTTCAGATAATTATTCACAAGCTCGTATAAATAAGTCTGTCAAGAAAGCAGCATCAATCATTGTTGCAAAACCATTAAATACCAATATACCAATGGCAGCTTGCTTTCGTGCTTCTTATCAGTCTATATCTGTTGCAAAAGCCAATGATATCATTTCCATGTATTCATACATGCCTGCTGTTGATATTGCATTTTATAAAACAATAATAAATTGAACATTTACAAAACATTAATAAACTCAAAATATTTTTAGGGTTGTTATATGTTTAGTATAAATATAAATAACATATTTATATATATATATATATAATAATATAAATAATATACATATAAATAACATATTTAAATAAAATATTTATTTAGTATAAATATAAATATAAAACACATTGAAATAATATTATTTTGAAATCTTGATAAAAATTTTTGTTTAGCTTGTGTTTTTTTTGTTTGTTTTTTTGTACTTTTATATTCATTTTCCCCCGCTTGTTTGGTTTGGATGGTTTTCCATAGTGACATAAAGGCCACTATGAAAGAGTTAAAGCAATGTTTCACAACCTGATGCCCTTCCTGACGTTAACTTGAGTAACAATATTTTATTTGTAAATATTAGCAATAACTTTTAATAAAAAGTTAAACTCTATTAATGGATACACAGGCATAAGAAAAATAAAATCAAGTTCATCTTGCATGGAGTTTGTGATTAGATTAGTTGAATTGTTGTGAATTATCAGATAGTTACATAATTATCAGATAGTTACATTCTTTTATTATTACATTTTTTTTAACATAACTCTTTCCTATATACCTTTCATAATTTATTTTATACGTTTATATTATATTAATACGTTTATATTATTATTACGCAGCCAAATTTTCCGTTTTAAATTAGACGTCTTAGTCTTGTCCAGGGCCGGCGCCTACAGGTAGTTAAAGTAAATGTAAGTCGTAAGAACAGTGTCGTTAGAGGCTCTTCTAAAAGTTCTCCTAATTAGGGCCTCATTTTATTTAAAAAAACTTAATTTTTTAGGTAATACAAAAAGCGTCTTATATTTTGAAAAGGGTCCCGTTAAATTAGGGCCCCATGCCCCTAATTTAGGGGCCCATGCCCATAAATTAGGAGTGTATGGTACTGCGTAAGAATAATTAGCAGGTAGAACAAAATTTCATCAATTTCTAACATGTCGTTGTTGAAAAATGTACTTAATATGTTTAATATAGATGATGTAACAACATAATATTTTTGAATTTTACTAAAAACCAAAGTTATTTTGTTCTATCTCCAAAAGAGGGTGCGAAAAAAAGGGCGTTAGCGTAATTTTAAAAAGTTTTTTTTATCTAAAAATTAATAATAAAACATTTTTAAATCTTAGGAAATACCTAAATTCTCAAAATATTTTTTCAATTTAGCTGCGAACAAATTCAAACTTTGACATCGATTTTCTCAGTTTGCAAAAACATGGAGATAGCACAAGATAATTCTAACGTCGCGATATGACGTTAAAGAAATTATTTATATTTGTATTTAAATGATTCATGTTCAGACTCATGTTCAAGGTTTAAATCACCTATAAAATAAATGCTTTTATTTTCGCTTAATTTGTTTTTAATTATGTTTTTAATGTGATTATTAATTTATCAACTTATCTTTTTTTTTTTAAATGCTGTTTTTGAGTGTTTGTTTGTTAAAAGTTTCATTTTTTATATGTTTTATTGTTTTACTCTTCTTTTATTTTGATATTTTTGAATTCTTTATTTGAAACAATTGGTAATTGCCTTTCTTTATTTCTTTTCAACGGTGATGCGATGACCTTGCAAAGGACTTCACAAAGGACTTGCAAAGGACTTCGCTTTAACTTGAAGTAACCATATTTCTGGAGATCTTTTCCTTGCGCACATATTTTTTCAATATAAATTTTCTTTAGATAAATTTATTTTACAATTGGCACATACATAGTTCAACATATCATTTAGTTTAGAATCAAATCCAAAAAATATATATATATATATTTTATATTATTCTTATGTTTTGCCATACATATAACGTCTACAAACTTCGTAAATTAAAGGTGTAATATTTACAAGTCTTGTGAGTCAAAATATATAATGAAATTTATAATTAAATAGTACGGGCCGGATTTCAAGAAGATTGTAATGATCTTATCACGAAGCCCTTACAAAGTGATTAATATATATTATGATTATGTTTTGATAACAACTATATTTTGATAGTCTTTAAATTAAAATAAACTCATAAAATTTAAACTTAAATTAAGCTCATAATAAAAGTTAAACAAGATGCAGCAAAACTAACATTAAAAGACAAACATCTGTAAATTTTTTAGGTGTGAACTTTGATGAAAATTTATCATGGAAAATACATATAAGTGCTATAGAAAAAAAATCTCAAAAAACATTGGAATGATCTATAGAGTTAGGCCAATTTTAAGTTTTAAGTCCTTAAAAAAATTATATTTTTCTTTTATACATAGTTACTTAACTTACGGCAACATCATATGGGCAAGTACTAACCACATTTGGACAAGTACTAACAGAATTCTTATTCAATTCAGGATCGCAGACCGCTTTTGTGGAAAAGATTCCCAAACATTGTTTCCGAAAAGAAAACTTCTCTACATCAGTTCAAAACTGATTCAAAACAGTTTTTATTAAACACAGATTTAGATTTATTTTATTATAAGTCTTTCTTTTAAAATAGATCAGATATATCAATTATAAATATAAACAAGGTAACTGTTACTTGTAATCATTAAAAAAAAAAAAGTTAAAAATTTATTGACAATAACCATTAACACAAATCACATTTTCTCGCTTTTTATTTTTTATGTGTATATATTTATACTCATGTATGTGTATATTTGTACTTATTTATGTGTGTATGTGTATGTGTGTATATGTATATATATATATATATATATATATATATATATATATATATATATATATATATATATATATATATATATATATATATATATATATATATAAGGCCGGCGCGATAGGGGTGTGTGGGGGGTGTAACACCCGCCCATCAATGACTTTTAGTCGGCAAATTTGACCCTTAGTCGGCAAATGTGACCCTTTTTGACTAGTTAGTCGGCAAATGTAGACCCTGTCGATAGGTTAGTCGGTAAAGTCAGTCGGCAAATGTCGTTATGGCAGTCGGTAAACATTAAAAAACGAGGACCTTTTTTTTTTTTTTTTTTTTACGGAAAAAGTTGTAATGGCACCCTCCCCGCGTGACCCCTATTCGCGCCGGCCCTGTCCAAGGATTCTAAATTTTTTTTAATTATAATAAAAAAATAATACTGATTTATCGACTTTTTCATAAATAAAAAAAAGTTACATATTAAAAAAGTTTTTACATACATATTTTTTACAACATATTTTTTTTGAAAGTAGATATTACTATTTAAAAAAAAAAACGCTTATTAAATAAAAATATCCATTCTTTGCAACTATGATCAAATTGTGTTTGTAATAGTTTTACGCACGTGAAACTTTCGAATAAATATTTTTGCGGTATAATACTCCTAAAGCGTTTAAGACGCAATTACATCGCTCAAAATAGTTTTCGCGTCAATTAAAGAACTACAGCTGTTTTTGGAAAATGTAAAAATTTCCATTGGTATAAAAAATGTATAAAAAAAGAATAAAATTATTTTTTTGCAAATAGCTGAACAAGGTTGAATGAGTCACTCAACCTTGTTCGCAAACAATATTGTTACTCATTAAGTGTTTGTCATATTTGCAGAACAGACGTGTTTTGGCAGCGTAAAAATATAAAGAAAAAACTGTATAATTTTAAATCTTTAGTATATTTTATTTATTTTTTTTGAGAAAATAATTCATTTTTTTTATAATATGGCTGTTACACTATCAGAAATAGCAAAATTGTTTGAAGGCTATAAAAAAGAATTCGAATTGATGTTAAAACAACAGGAAAAAGTTTTTATCGACATTATTAGTGGAAACTTAAAAATATTTAATGGCAGATTGGAAAAAGTTGAAAAAGATATAGAAGAATTAAAGCATAGCTTAAATTACCATGAAAAACTAATAAATGAAAAAGTTAAGAAAGCAAATGTTTTCAGTAAAGAAGACAATTCAGAAATTACACGCATACAAAAAAAGTTAAGGGAAATAGAAGATTGATCGAAACGTAATAATTTAAGAGTGGATGGAATTAATGAAAATGAAGGTGAAAGCTGGGAGGAAAGCGAACTTAAGGTAAAAAAGGTTTTTGAAGAGTTACTATCTGTTAAAAATGTCCAAATTGAACGGGCCCACAGAACAGGAAAAAAAGAATCAAATAAGCCGAGAACAATAGTGATAAAACTATTGGACTTTAAACATAAAGTTGCAATTTTGAGCAAGTCAAGCAATCTGAATGGGAAAAACATCTATATAAACGAGGATTTCTGTTCTGAAACAACGCAAATTCGAAAAGGTTTGAGGGAAAAAAT